TGGCTACGAACACTCGCAATCTGAGAACACAGCTTGAATAAAGCTGTCAATAGAATATTGTAGTCGGATTCCGTTTGCACCAACCCCTTACATTCCTCAATAACTTCGTGTGCGATCTTGAGAGCGGCTTGTGCCCGAGCCGGGACCACCTCGAATTTTCCGTCCCGACGGAGGCATGTGGCGAGAGCATTCAGCACGGAGGAAACGTGCACACAATCCAACTTTACTTGTGCTTTGTGCTGCATCTGCAAGATATCTTGCAAAGGTCTCCACCAACGCATCTGGCCGCATCGCTGCACGGCAGCACTGAATATGCTGATGTCCACACGGCCTGCATCGCAGGCTGCTCGCAACAAGTCCAGGAGCAGCTTTGATGACCGGCACTTCTTCAGTCGTAAGCGCAGCTTTGCGGCACGTGGTGACCGGCGCTGTGGGGAACTCGTCTTGGGGTCTGTGGGAGACGTCAAGAAATACTGCTGTGGGTTCTTGGAACGTTTGTGACCCGTCTTTCTGTTGTATGTCTCCTCGGGCCGCAGCAGCATGCGTTCGCGCTGTGAGGGCGGCGTCTGTTGTGGGCGTGAGTGGCTCCGAAGGGCCACACCAGCAACAGCAGCAAACCAAGAAACCGACCGAGAAACCTGAAGCCCAAACACGTCGTGTCCTCGCCCATCTTGACAAAGTTGACCGCAGGAAACTCTAGGAAGGCGAGGCCACGCAGGATGCGGGAAGGCAGCAGCTGACACAGAAATGCCGGAGGCCATGGCCCCTCAGCATCCTGACCCTACTTGATTTAGGCACCTCACTGCATAGATTAGGACCGGTCAGGACCCTACAAAAAGACTTTACTGCAACCAAAGAGAGCAGCTGCCCGTCAAGGTTTAGTCAAGTGTTTAATGCTATCCAAACTCAGGTCCTGCAGTCCAAGGTCTACGAAAGCCCGACCACACAAGCACCTCGAGATGTTGCATTTAGTGGAAACGGCGCTGGTTCAAGGTGGTGTGTGCACAGCTGACGGTTAAAGTGGCAAATCCTGAGCCCTACAAACCCATCTATATACCCTAACATCCCTAAACTCTAACCTAAACCGGCTGCAGGAACTGTCTAACTTCAAGCATCTGTGACTGAAGACCCACACAAGGATCCCAAAAGCCGTGACCCCATCCTGAACCGGCCCGAGGATCTAATGACCTACTGTTTTAAGGCTGTGGGGCTTAGGTTTTAGGGTTTATCGTTTAGCGTTGAGGACTTTATGATCTAGATTAACGAACAATTTCATAGGGTCTTGGGGCTCAGGTAGACGATGAAACTAAGCTAGACTGACTCCATTACTGTGAGCCCTGCTCCCCAATTCGACAAGAACATCGGGCTCCACCTTTCAGATTTATGGAACCCTTCCTTGCGTTTAGGGTTTAGGGTTTTAGGGTTTAGGGTTTAGGGTTTAGGGTTTAGGGTTTAGGGTTTAGGGTATGCGTATTGTAGTGCGTACTGTGCTTTGGTGGAAGCTGCAAGCCCCCAAGCCATGCCTTCACACACATTGAGCTACCAATTGCAACGCAAACATCATAGAACCCACTGAAACCGCAGAAAGCACAAACAAAAACCTACAAATCCGATGCAAACTACACGTAAACTCAAAACAAGCCCTGATTGATTGACACAGAGCCTCATAAACTGTTTAGCACAAAACACGAAATAAACTCGCAGCTGATGTGCAGAGTGGAAGAGTCCGGCTCAGACTTGTCCATCTCCTTGCACCAAGACGAGGAGGGCTTTGGGATATATTCTACTACAGTTATATGATAAGGAGTCCAAAAAATAGTATATGTAGGGCTTTGGGGTATATTATACTACAAGTATGTATGATAAGGAGCCCCCCCAAAAAATAGTATAGGTAAACGAACGCGGAGCTGGGCTCTACTCTTCGCATGCAGCTTTCGGGGTTTAGACTCTGGCGACTCGGCAAGGCAGGCGAGGTTTGGGGGTTTAGGGTGTGGGCTTTACCCATAAGCCCCATAGTAGTTCCCTTTTGGGATTACCTTATAGGATTCCAAATATGAACCCCCAAAAAGGAACCACTATGGGGCCTATGGGTAGTTTAGGATTGCAAAAGCCTTTACGGCTTTAGGGTTCAGGGCTTCGGGGATGTAGGGGTTTAGGGCTGACGAATGCAACCAAAAGAGCTTCCTTCTTTGGAAGTGGAGGGGAACACGAAGCACCTAACCACACCTTTATAAAACTATGCCGAGGAAAACCCCAACACCTAGTCTGGGGTGTTGGAGGGTTCATGAGAGTCCGTTGCGTATGCTCGCCGGGCTGAGCAGCTGTCTGATGCGATATGAGCAGCACATCCTCCGAAACTCTTGCCACCCAGCAATCCGAAATCTGAGTTGCTCTTCTGAAATCGTCACGCCCTCAACATGACGATGGCAGTGCTGGCACAGCTGCTGATCTTTATGAACATGATGGGGCCGAGAACAATGACTGTTGAAATCATCGTCTGTCTTCAGGCTTGCCAGGCTCCTCCATACGCCCGGCGGCTTTGGGACGCAGAGGAGGCAAGTCCGCCACGAAGAGTGCGGCCTGCCAGCGTGCTTGGGCTGCAGTATACCGATGCGTAACCCACTTGATGGCAAGGGTCCCGCCGTGAAGTCACGTGATGCACAAGGTCCTACAGTCCTACAGTACTAGTCGTCCTGAGCTTTAGGTTTAGATTCTGCTGGTGGATAAACTCATCTTACCAGTTCATACTGTCTTCATCGTCCCAACAAAATTCCCTGTTGCCAGCGCTGCAACTGGTCTTGCGAGTGTTTTCATCGGTATCTTCTTGATCACAACCAATCCTCATCGTCACCGCTACCATGAACGACTTGATCATGTTGGCACACGCTTGTTTCAAACAATGGTGGTCCCCGAAACCCGATAGCCTCAAAACCACGTACGGTTCCTATACAAGCATGCTATAGTATACCGTATTACCCTTTTTACACAGGCTTGATTG